TTCCAATCCATTAACAGCAGCAAGACGGATTATTGCTAGGAAATGAAAATCAGCTTACAATATACAGTATTGTTAAATGATTAGTATAGTGATGTTTGAGATATAATAATGATAAACATATATATAAAATATAAAAGCTAAGAAGCACACAATTAATAAATTAGTTTGCAGACATATAAGGAGAACATGTTGACCTTGCATTGATAAAGGGACAAAGTGTTACATATGAATCTATACTGTTTTGTAACAAGCCCTGGAAGGGTAAGTGGTTCCCAACCTTGGGTAACCCGATGGTAGTTGCAGAAGGGGCAGTCTGTGCAAGCATTACAGGTAAAAGCAAAATAGAAATAAAAAGTTTAAAAAGACAAAAATGTGGTGACACCTTTAAAGACTAACTTTTATATTATTATTTTATTTTTAATGTGAACTTTTGTGGACAACTCCACTTCATCAGCTATAAAAGAAGGAGGTTTAACATGGCAAATATGTAAACATGGCATCAAAATATTTATATCAAAATACAGATCATGGATGGCTGGGAAGAAAGTCAGTGTGTATCATCATTGTGATGATAGAAACTCCCATTATAGTTTCCAGGAGTTGCAGTTCTTGGACTGTAATTCCCAGAAATCCCAGCCAGCACAGCTGGTGGTGAAGGCTTCTGGGAATTGCAGTCCAAGAACATCTGGGTTGCCCAAGGTTGGGAACCACTGGAAGCAATTACTCCCCAGGGGTCCCGGCGGTGGGGTGCAAAGCAGCCTGCTTGCTTTCTTTTTCTCTTCAGTTTGTTTATCAGGAATGTTGATATTTATTATTTGTTGTAGTTTATTAAAAAAATTCAAAAAGAAATGCTGCTCACGATACAGATGTTAACTAACGAAAGGGAAGACTAGACACAGTTTGCCATGGATGAGAAAACCCGAGGCTCCCGTGCATCCCGAGATGATCCTGGACAAGCCACTCCTTCGCCGTGGGAGAGAAAAAAACCCAAGAGAAGCGCCGAGAGTCATGCACACCAAGCCTTAAGAATGTAATAATAACAAGTAGAGAAGAGCTAGAAATTAAAGAAGTTTAATAAAGAAGCCACGCAGCCCCACAGCTTCCGCCCGAGACGGGGCGTCTCCCACCAACCGGCCGAGCCGGACTGGCGTCGCCGTTCAAGACCCACGAAGCGAAAGCCCGCGCTGCCCCCTGACGGCCTTACCCCACTCGAGGCCAGGGTCGCCCGGGCCGCCCCCGGCCACCATCGCGGCCATCGCTGCTGCTCCGGCGGAGGCTCACTTTCGTCTCTCCTTCGCTTCCGGGATGACACTCAACTCTTGCGACATTCCATAAACAGACGTGTCCTTCCTCACAACGCCCCGCCCCCGACTACGAGGGCCGGGAAGGATCAAGAGTCGCGGGGGGGGGTTGCGCAAAACGACGCTTTTGGAGGCCCGTAGAATGATCGTGGCTGTGGCTGCGCCCGTCCTAGACCTCTTGATCTGTTTAACCTGTGCTGGGGGTTGAACGGGGGTGGGGACGGGGGAAGGATGTATTTTTCCCCGGAGGGTTTCCATAAAGTAATAACTACAAGCTGTCGTTTATGAAGATTCTTCGGTAATAATTTCTTAAACAAGAGGCAGAAAGATGTGATAAGGGGCTTTTCCAATAAATGCCCGAATACTAGAGATAAGAGATAATATATTTCTCAAACTCGATTAAGAATTTTTTATTTTGGGGGGGAGTTCATTGGGTGGAACATGAAAAGGTGCTTCTTTCTTGTTCTGGATTTCAGGATTAACCGGGCTCTTCTCTGTGAGACTGTCTCTGATTTTAGTAGCGGTAAAAAACAACAACTCTTGAGAGTCCCCTGGATTGCAAGGAGAACAAACCTATCAATTCTAAAGGAAATCAGTGCTCACTGGAAGGACAGATCCTGAAGCTGAGGCTCCAGTACTTTGGCCATTTCATGAGAAGAGAAGACTCCTTGGAAAAGACCTTGATGTTAGGAAAGTGTGACGGCAAGAGGAGAAGGGGACGACCGAGGACGAGATGGTTGGACAGTGTCATCGAAGCAAGCAACATGAATTTGACACAACTCCGGGAGGCTGTGGAAGACAGGACGGCCTGGCGTGCTCTGGTCCATGGGGTCACGAAGAGTCGGACACAACTAAACGACAAAACAACAACAAAACAACAGAAACAAAGGTAGAAGGGTTTCCAGTGCGATGTAGCGGATAAGTGATGGACTAGGATTCTGGAGAAAAGGATTTGAATCCCGGCTCAGCCATGGAAACTGACTGGGGGAGTGGAACTGGTAAAACCACTCCTTAAATCTCTCTGTTACCTTAAAAGCCCTACCAAGGTCCCTGTAAGTCGGTTCTGACAACAGGTAACAACAAAGACTCTGTTGATCTCCCAGAACAAAAAAACCCTATGAAGGCTCTTTTATAATCACTATAATTCCATAATAGTGTCTATGCTTTTTATTTTTTTTAATTGGGAGGTGATTAAAGAAAAAATAGAGAAGGGTAAGTGTGGAAGCAAGGAAGTTCTAAACAATTGGCAAGATGTTTAATTAAATAGTACTTAATTGAAAAGTGCAGTTCTAGAGAATGGCCATGTCTGCATGGACTGAATGCATTCATGATTTACTTGTTTCAGCAATGTTTGAAAATACTACCTTTTGAGGTAGGGGGTCTTTCTGTGTGAAGCTTTCATTCCACCCTCACTCTCATGCACAGAGGTTTACAGGGGTTCTTTCAACTGTCATAGCCTATTTGTAATCCTGCTGTTTTCCTACCACTTCCTGTGTCTCTGTCTGTTAAAGTGCAGGCAACTTCAGAGATGGGAAGAAAAAAGCCATGTGTGATTTGATGTTATGTGCCATCAAGCTGAAATCGACTTATAGCAACCCTGACATGGTTTTCAAAGTAAGTATGGTATTTAAGGAGTGGTTTTACCAGTTCGACTCCCACAGTGAGTTTCAATGGCCAAGCAGGGAATCAAACCCCATTCTCCAGAGTCCTAGCCAGGCAACTTCAGAGATGGGAAGAAAAAAGCCATGTGTGATTTGATGTTATGTGCCATCAAGCTGAAATCGACTTATAGCAACCCTGACATGGTTTTCAAAGTAAGTATGGTATTTAAGGAGTGGTTTTACCAGTTCGACTCCCACAGTGAGTTTCAATGGCCAAGCAGGGAATCAAACCCCATTCTCCAGAGTCCTAGCCCATCACTCTCGGGCAATCAAACCCCATTCTCCAGAGTCCTAGCCCATCACTCTATCATCACACCAAGTATTGTGTTATTTGATAGTTGATCACTGTCTGTCTTGATTGCAGAGTAAGCAAAGCTATTTACAAAGATGCTGTTTTAAGAACAGGGAGCACTAAGAGCATTAAACAGTGTTCGAGAAGTAATACGTGCAAACTACAAATGTGTTGAAGAGAACAGTAATAATAAAAATAGTTCATTAATTCAGATTTTTTACCCTTTCCATGGTTTTCTAATTATGAAACACTCAAAATAGTTCCCTTCAATATTTTTATTAAT